GCCTCCGATGAGACTGCTGTCTCGAGCACAGCCTTCTTGGCATCTGCACGGAGCTGATCTTCATACTGCTGGGTTAGGGCCTTTCGGTCCTGGCTGCCGAGCATGACCCACATGTCGGACGGGATATCGGGAGGCCTTTTGGATCCAGCCTTCCTACGGACGAGCCGAACCCCATCCCACACATAGCCATCGGGTACTGGTGACCCATCAGGCATTATGCTTGGGTCGAATGCACCGCCTTTGTCAGGCACGACAGGCTTGATCTTCGCTTCGGATTTCTCCGATGCGGCGGGTTCCTCGATGTGGGCTTGCCCACGCTCCAACGGCACAGGATCATCTCGTGTCCTAGCATTGGCAACAGGTGGATGAGATGCAGGGTCTTTCAACAACCTCATCGGGAAGATGAACTCATCAGTCGGAAGCTCAATGCGCTTTGTTCGCTGTACCGTGAGGGACGCATGTTCGATATGGTAATCGAGCCCTTCTAGTTTTGCAACAAGGAACTCACCTTTCCATGCGAACCCGGGCTGAATGTGGTACCCGAGAAACACGCCTTCGTTTGATGTTGGCGAAGTCTTGCCTGCCTGATTGTCAGCTCGTGCAGGGTTGTTCCAGAACAGTACCTTTGCTCCAAAAGGTATCTCAGCTTCATCAAAGGTCTTGTTAAACCTGAGGTACCATGGCGAATCGTTTCCATTCAACTGTGGCAGGATGTTGGTCGCAACTGCATTGTGCTGGATAGCAAATGGCCACATCGACAGTGGGAACCCTGACTGAACAAGGTTCGCACGTGCTCCCTCCAACAGATGTCTGATTTCCCTTTCCACGAAAGATTTGGAAGAATCAACATATTCAATGGAGGTCTGATGACGGTACCCCAACTGCTCTATTGCGGCTTTCAATTCCCGGGAGTTGTCGGTGTAGAGAACTTCAACCTCATCCCTACCGGAAATGAAATGCTGGATCCCTGCAACGGATTGCTCCGTGCTTTTGCTGGTCGATGGGTAAACGTACCTGAACTGCGTATGCACGTCCTTGATCACAAGAGCACACCATTCACCTTTGATACCCTGCTCAATGTTGGCCTTGAGAATCACATGATCAGCAATGATGTGATCTCCAAACGCTTTCGTCTCGAGCCTTCCCTGCCCGCCCTTCGATCTTGCATATGGGGCAAGCATCTTGGCACGTTGGCAAGTGCGGCAAAAGGGATTCTTCGGATAGTGTGCAAACAAGTGCTCTTTGGTACTCGCTTCGGCAACCAGATCTTGCTCTTTGCGGGATCTAACAAACCGCTCAACTTCGTCGTCGGGATCATCACCTTCGTCGATGCCTTCGTCATGAACCAGTGCAGGCGCTGGCTTGGATGCTGCTACTGCACTCAACGATGGCTCAGCTTCACAGCTGGAATCCATGTATGGCACATGACCGTCAACCTTGAGCTGGATCAGAGCACCATCAGGGCGAACCATGGTTGGCGCCTTCCCGGATTCCCAATGGAAGGAATATCCTTGATCCAGACACTTCACACCCAGCGACAGCACTGCGGGAGAACTCTCGAGGTAAGGCTGAGCAGGTAAGGCTGAGCAGGCTCACACAATGCATCGACATTGATGTCGGCGATTTCGGAAGCAGTGATGTTTCCGTTTGCAGTCACAAGGCGAATAGGCTGTGGGGCCTGTTTTCGGATTGCCTTGGACGCATTCCTCAGTGCAGCTTTGCTGATGAGGTCCTGCTCACTACCGGAATCAATAAGCCACACGTCCTTTCCCTTTGGTGCAGGGGTGGCTGCCCTTGGCGCTTCGACATCCTTGCGAACATCGTGAGGCGGCATGGCAATTCTCAGGCACTCATCACATGACAGGCTTGAGATGGAATCGGATTCCACATCGCACATGAAACCACAAGCGGGCTGGGCTCCATTCTCAATGGCTTTGATTACGGCACTCAACTGGTTCGCGGCCTTGCGCGCTGCCTTGTTAGTCCCTTTGGTCGGCCTAGGGCAGTCCTTAGCATTTGGAAACATCCTGTTATACTGCCGTTCCTCGTACTCAAGCTTGAAACCGTCGCCTTCGGCGGGGATCTCATGCACATGAGCATTGGTGTCAAACGACACCCCAATGGGATTGATCGGCTTGGCAAACATGGCGTACCTAGTGCATACTGCGGCGGCCTTGGCCTTGGGCTTAGGCTTAGGCGAATTTGCACGCTTCTTGGCCGCAGGATTTGCGTTGGCCTCGTTGCTCGATGCCGCAGCGGCAGATTTGCCGCCCGTGGAGGCATGGCTAAACTTGCATTTGTCACCTCTAGTGCACTTCCCTTGGGCAAAGAAAGAACACGGTGCTTTCTCTCCTTTACCGCCTTTGGGGGAACTTGGCCTGCCGCGGGTCGCGGAGCGTCCTCGCGGCTCCTTGCGGTGCGCGTAAGGGCAGTTTGCCCCCCTCGTGCACGAGCCCTTCTGGAAGTCAAAGCAGTACTTTTCCTCGGTGTCCTTCGGCTTAGGTGCGCTCTTTTTCTTGGGGTCCCTCTTTTCAGGGGCGGCAGCACCAGCCTTGGGCGTTGGGGCTTTACTGGCATTGACCTTGGACACGCGCTCTCGGTTCTCGCGGAGCCTATCCCTCTCGATTAGATCCCTCATGCAACGCATTAGGAAATCGTACGATTTGTTGGGATCATCATCACGGCAACGATCATATGTGTCAATGTCGTACCGCAACAGATGGCAGCTTCTCACTTGGCGAAGCAGGGATGTCTTTCAACACCTTTTCTTCCGGCGGCCTTTTCATGCCGGCGATCACGGAATCCCAAGCGTTTAGGAAACGTTTGAGATCAATGATTCCTTCGCCGTGTCGCGAGACACGCAACAGGTCCTCCAAGGAGTAGAGGTTTCCGGCTTCTTCACTGGTCTTGAAATATTGGTCAAACATAAACAAGACCTGCCTTCCTCTCATGGCCTTTCCCTCCTTGGCACATTCTTCCTTTGCTGTTAGGATTCGCTGAGCCAGATCGCCCTTCGCTGAACGCGTGAGCGCTGCGAGAATCTTCGTGTCTAGGGTCACGAATTTTCCCGGTTCGCCGAGCTCCTCCAACAGCTTCTTCTTGTCCTCGCGATCGGACCAGACTTCCATGATCCAAGGCCAAGCCTCGTCTGGACGGTCAGATGCAGCGCGGACGTCCTCACGAACCGATGTCTTCCATTCACGGTACGTTTCAGGAGTTGGCATCTCCTTGAATCGCAACGTCTCGCTTTCGCGGGCTCTGGGCTTTTCATCGTTCGTGTGGCCTTTTACTAATTTCATCAACATCTTGGCGAATGCTTCATTGCCGAGGTTAGGCCCGAGGCCGTCACCTTCGTCTTCATCACCATCGCCATCGCCACCATCATCAGGTGGCGGACCGCCGGGAGGCTTACCACCCTGCTTGCGGTCATTTGACATTGGCCCCTGAGAGAATTGCAGGGGCGGGACCGGTGCACTTGTTTTCACCGGGGATTGGCTACTACCTGATGGCTTTTCAGCTGGTCCTTGCGGATCGCGAGCATCTGCGGGCAGTGCATCGCATTCGGCAGTTGGAATCACGCTAGGGGTATATTCATCCCCGTAACCGTCATAGGTAACAAGCGACCTCAACTTTTCCTTTGCATATTGAAACGGATGGGCATGTCGTCGGTCATCAACTCTGGTGAATCCTCTCGGGTATCACCTACCCCTTTGGGCTTCGATCCATCCTCGCGGAGGTCGTGTTGCTTCTGATACTTCTTCAGCTCATCGAGCTCGTCCTGCAGAAGCCCGTTTTGGTGGGCCATCATGTCAATCGTCCTGGCGTTTTTCGCTTCGACACGGGCTGTGTCATCGGCGTGCTTGGCAGCTTGCTCATGGAGGAGCTGCTGGGCTTCCGCCAGGGTGGATTCGATGGCTTGCCTAAACTCAGTTGTTTTGTGTCCCATTTCCGCTTCATGCAATGCTTGGGCATTTTCCTCACACACTTGGCTTATCCTAGCTTCAGCGAAGTTCACTTCTTGAATGAACTCATCGCTCACTCGCTGTTCGTATTCACGAATTCTATGCGACTGGGCTTGCACACATTCAGCATAGTGTGCATGCAGCTGATTCTGTGCGACACGGAGCTCCTCACGGTTTTCCGCTTGCAAATGCGTGACAGCTGCTTGATGCAGTGCTTCGGCTTCAGACCTAATGGCTGCATCATTCCCAAAAGCAAAGATTGCGGTATTGTACAGTTGAAGGGAATTCATCAGGGTGCGGTTATACTGCGCATTAGCGCTTGATGCGAACATTCGCACACCGCCGCCGGTGGCGTTGTCGGAGCTAGCTCCGGCAGCATCCACAGGCATGTTAGATCCATCAACTGGCACAAGGGAACCGTCCATTGCTTGGAGCTAGGGGCCTACGGCTGATAACCTATAGATTCAAGGGTTACCGGTTTGGGGCCCAAAAGGAAACAACAAACCGTCCAAGTGCGCTGCTCGCACATTTTCACGCTTGAACAGCCACACTGCGGATGCAATGGATGTAAACCCCATATTGACCGATCAAATTCTTCAGAAACAGCAAATTTATTTTCTCTCTCTCTCTCTCTCTCTCCGTCTGCAGAAGCTCAGGGCACTTTCTGCAGTTTGCTGCTTTGGTTTGACAATCTCTCGAAGGGTACCTCCCTTCAAGGCCAGTCCTCCTCTAACAACACGAATTCCCCGGATGAATCCTTGCCCCTTTCAGCACTGGGAAAATCAAAACGCATTTGTGTCTTACTCTTGCACTCCAGTTGGCCAAGACTGGGAGACGAAATTAGGAGGGTTGGGATCCTCCCAAAACTGGTTTCTTGGGGAGGGAGGGGGGTTTACTAACAGCAAGCAAAAGTGGTCTGAAGCTGCGCTGGGCACACAGGACGTGTGAGTTATGGCCAACCCCCATGGTTAAAGCATCCTGAGCAACCCTTGGCCAATCCGAATGAACGCTAGGTCACACAAGCGACAAATTGCACGCCTGCAACTTTACCTCCACCAGCTGCGCCGCCAATCCTCCAGTGAATCAGCCAAGTCGGTATAAATGGCCAAAGGGGCGTCTGGACCACTGGAACAGGCCAAAGCGACACAACTATCAATTGGAGGGGACATGCCGGCTGGCCGCAAGTAAGGCAAGTAAGGCTCCTTGTTACTTCGCGAACAAGCATCAGAAGGGGTTACCAGGCCGACAGAGCAACTGCCCAAATGTATTCAAGCACCTCGACAGGTGAAACTGAGATGAGCCAAGGGAGCAGGGCCTTCCCTGCCCACAAGCCAAGGGAGATCCCTTGATCTACCTGCGCGTCAAACTCGTGCCGATCCATCACCCAGATTTGGCTCGCAACCTGTTGCTGCTATGGTTGCAAGAAAAGAGCAGGCGCTAAGTCACCTAGAGCAGGCGCAACCACTCACACCCTTTCAGACGTTCAAAGAACTGAACTGCGAAAACAGTTCAGCAAGAATGGTAAGTTCAACTGGAAGTTGATGTTCATCCTGTAATCACTCTATTCATGGTTCGCTGAGTTGTCTGGACCAGCCAAAGCACCCAAAGAGGCTGTGCAAATTGTGTCAATGTGCAGTGGGGTGTTGGTCTTCTGCATGGACTGCAATGAACAACCCAGCAGGGCTTCATGACCGCTAGTTGAACTTTACTTAGACATTCTGCAAGCTCCTAGCACCCAGCAGTATCTGCAGGTAGTTTTTAGAGCTATTTTAGGCGAAATGACTGCTCAGAAGGCAAGCTGGATTCGAATTGCGCAACCAAGCCTCGGTCGCCTGATTTTTTTCATAGTTTCCATGCTGAGACAGCCAAGCATCAGGCGAAAAGATACGAAAAGCCAAGAAAACCATTCAAGGCATACAATGCAAGACTTCACCCGCCTTCCAAAGGCGCCAAGGCATCCTCGCAAACCGCCAACATGGCGTCCAGGCTGCCTGTGCAACTTGTGCCGCCCAGGGCTGTTGGCTTCAGGGTAAGTCAAGGGAGGGCACAAGGTGGGCGATCCAAGTGAAGCCGGGCATGACTCTCGGGCCTTAAAGTGTTGCAGGGAGCAAGTCTAGCACCTCTTGCCAGCCTGACTTGAAACCTGCGAAGTGCATCTCCTAGTGAGCGCTGCTGTGCCATTTGTAGCAAGGGTCTCAAGCCCAAATGGGACCCTACATGAGGGCTGCATGCGCACACAATTTTGAAGATGCTGATTCCCATGAAAGAAAACTGCAGCATCATAGCAATGGTGCTAGGAGCAAACGCAACCGGCAACAATTAACAATGAGCTTGGCACCATAAGTAACAACTCGTCTGTGCATCAGCATGTGCTGATTAAAACAGAAGAAGAAAAAAAGAACAAGACAAAACAAAAAAAAAAAAACGGAAAAAAAGAAGAAGAAACAAAAGAAAAGAAAGACAAATCATGAACAAAACTAATAGAACTAAACTGAACCCAGGGCGTGTCCCATCAAGTCCCATCCATCTTCACCAAACTGACGCGTCTTAGCCCAGCCTAAAGGTATCTCCATGGCTCTGGAGCTGGCCAGGCTAACCAGCTTCGCACCTGGCGAATCGATCGGAGCGAGCCTCGGACCCTGGTACTCTGCGAATCTGCAATTTCTGCGAGGCTGCACGGCATGCAAGCGGAAGGCGGGCCCAAAATGGTTGAAACACCGGACACCATTCCTCAGAAATGAGCGCAGCCTGGCACATCCCAATCGTCTGCCTTGAGCTTGTCCTCCCATCCCGCCTAGCTGCGAGAGCCGGGACTTGAAGGCCGGAGCACGGCAAGCCTCAGAGTTCAAACATGGAACTTCCATGGGCTCAGGATGCCCAGTTTGGGCCTATGGCTTGGCCATGCATCAGAACCTTGAGGTGCAATGTGTGTCGGACGGTGGTCGTCTTGCAGGCAAAATCACGAATGGACGAAATATACGGCACCCTCAGAAGGCAAACATGCCTTAAGAGCGCTGGCATTTGCCGCCTGATGAATCCAAACGCTTTGTGCAAACAAAAGCCTTCGCATTGCTGCTGCTGCAATGGGGTTTGGCCCATTTCAAAGCTCAACGAGACATTTCATGCATCCTTCAAGACATTCCCCGTGTTCTTTCGACCTAAGGTCCCTCACAGTGCACGGAGCTAACAAGGAGCTGCCGGCTGAAGAACGGCTGCTTTTTTTCTCCTCAGGCGCGTGACAGTACGAATGTTTTTCGCTCTGCGCGCGTCGCCCTTATGGCATCGCGCGATAGGATACATGGAAGAACGAACTCGTTTCGGCAAACTGCGCCGACGCATGGAAAGATGATGACCAGCTAGCACCTTTGGCGCTTCTGGCCTGCGTGACAGGGCTGCATGAAATTGGAGTGCCGTTTGTCCATTTGTTTCAACTCAAGGACTACTTGGTGAACGGATTGACACCAATTTCCAAGCAGCCAACACTACGCGTGCATGCGTGGGGACCATAAGGGATGGCCCGGCCAAGCCGCTAAGCAGGGAATGTCTGCTGTGTCAAAGGGGCCTGAGCGGAAACAGGAAGCTGTGGGTGGGGGCTGGATGGGGGATGGGGCAATGCACCCTAGCAACAGCTTAGAGCGTTCAACAGGGCACGCTGCCTGGCTGAAACCATCCCCGCAGAGCAATTTCCTCCGCGGACTCCACGTTGTGCCCTTAAGGCGGATGCTTTGACTGGCTATGACTCCGTCTGCCGTGAGGTTTGCACCTCATTGATAAGCTGGCACAGACAAGAGGTCGTCAATCACTGCGCAAATTTGCGCAACACCGAGCCCACTGTTCATCAGGAACACGGATCACTCTTGAACGTGCCTCGTCTTGCTCTCAAATGCTGGAGGGTCGTGGAGTCTGAGACGAACCTCCAGTGTGAAACTCATTCTCCGCTTTTTCTTCGCAAAGTCCACCGGGCCTAACTCGACCCAAAACAAGAAGTGCCGCTTGGCGGCCCTGGATACCATGCATCACAACTTGGCCCCTTCACTTTCTGCAGCTCATCATCAGGGCTGCGGTCTCGAACGGTCTCCTGCAAGGGCGACTTTAAACTCCAAGGCAAGTGAACGATCGTGCCTTCCGGAGAACCGCTGGCGATTGCTGATTTGCAGTGTTCGACGTGCTTCAAAGGCATGTGCACAGCTCCGCGGGAAATCCACGCAAACACACACTCGAAGTGGCGACGTTTTCAAAAGGTCCGGGAGCATGAGTCAGGTTCCCAATAGTCAACTTTGCTTGTTTCAAATCCTTCTTCATGCACTGATTGATGTCTTAATGATGCTCAGCTAGAGCAAGTACGGCAAAACCAAATATTCTACAAGACTAGTACTTAGCAGCACTTTCGCCCTGCCGTTTCAACAGGGCAAGCGGGCAGACAAACAAACAGACAGGCAAGCAAACAAACAAACAAACAAACACACACAAACAAATGAAACAACTCCATTTAGATCCGCATCCACACTTCACTTATATGTATGCACTCGAAGGCTCACACATCTTTACTTGTGCACTTCCATACGTACATTGTTATCACGCGCATGCACTTCAACACTTGCAAGGTTACCTGCTGTAGCGCACACACGCAAACGCACTCGGATATACATTCGTATTTGTACAAAACGCTTGCACGCACACATGCGCACGTGCACGCGACGCTCACACACGCGCCTGATTGTAGTATGGACAAGTACATATACTAACACACTCGCGACAAATACCCACGCCCGCACCCTGCCCGCTGGCCTGCCCACCCACCTGAGTCACCTGACCTGACCCGATCGCACCTCAATCACTCACTCGCGACCTACCTGCTTGACCACAATCCCAACATGCCCATCACGAACACCACATACATCCCTGAAGTATTTGCCTGCAGACCATGGCATAAAGCGGCGTCATCCCACCTCCCACAAGTTCCCCTCCCGCCTGGCCCCTTTACTCGCTGTCAGTTAGGCCGCTGCTGCTGCCTCGGTGCCAGCAAATCTGAGCATGGAAAAGGCCACTTTAGAGCCTTAGCAAGGGGAACCATGGAACGGTCACGGCCCTTAACCGTGCTTGATGGCCGTCTTGGGCTGCAATCCTCTTGCTATGGCTCTGAATCAGTATCAGGGACAAGCCAAGTCAAATGCATTTCGCACATCTTCTATTGCGCCTGACTTTGACCTGCAAGTAGTCCGTCAATATCAGTTGATTCGGTCCGATATCATGGAAACTTAAAAACCGTCACGTTGCAAATCCAGTCGCTTTGCTCCCTGAACTGTCTGGGTTGGCCTCCCCTAAAAAAACAACACAACAACTTGGCATGGCCCATGTGCAGGCGCCGTGCTGATTCCTGCCCCCTGCTTTCAGCAAGCACGGGCCAACGCTGGTGACAAGCTAACTTGGGGCTTGCAAGCAAGCGTTTACATAACGCCAAGTACCTGGCCTTGAAGAAACCGCTGGATTCTCAACAAAAAAGACAATAGGGACAGGGACATGAGTCCCCTCAACGCATTTCTGAACAAAGCAGCCTTGCTGGACATTGGGACCCTTCGATTTCCAGTTCATTGAGACTTGCGCCCTTTCAAAGTGGGCCTCTGGGCGTCTCTGACAGCAAGGAGTGGCACAACAACCCAATACCATCCAGTGCTAACGTATTGACGCGCCTGCCCTTGACAAACCCATGTTACGTCCAAATCCCCAATCCAGACTGCTCTTCAAGTCGAGGTCTGATGGTGTCATAGTATTTGACATGCATTCGAGCAATGTCGCCTTTCCCCATGTTCGTATAGCAATGCGGCTGTGGATTCCCCAAGGTCCATTTCTAGGGCTTCTCTGGACGCTGATGCCGCTTGCGCTATCGGAGCCCACAATAGGTATGTTTCGGATACGTGACACTGTTGTTTGAGGATGCTTGGCTTTGGGTTGCTTCCACTCCCCTAGGGGCATTTCTCAAGGAGACCCTTGGCCCCCGACCAAAGCAAGTCGATCTTTCCGCGTACACACATTCACTCGGGGCTGTTGCATGTCCACATCCCCAGGAACTCTCACGATTGCTCGCAGCAACTGGAGCCTAGACGTTCAAACATACTGAAACAATCACACCTCCCCGCCCAACAAGCGATCTAAAAAAGGTTCTGCCATTCAGGGTGAAAACAAGGACTGGCGACCAAATTCAGTCCTTCTCTTGCGCAGCGTGTATCGTTCTACTTGCCACACGTACTACTAATGCGGCTGGGCGGCTGCTGTCGTCATCATCAGCGTTCACACTTCCGCCCTGGCCATAACCGTGACGACGGAAACGCGCGAAGCTTAGCAGCATGAGGGGCCTATATCAGTAGAAATGTATCTGGACAAGTTGCAGCCTGAGAGGAGGAGCAAGACAAACACACTGACATTTTGACAGGTGTGCTCAGGCATCCTTCACATCAAGTTCCACGAATCTCTGGCTGGAAACCCTGCAAAATCCAGTGGTCGCAATCCGTTCGGGATATATGGCAAAATGTTCCCTCTGAAGAAGAAGAAGAAGAAGAAAAATATATTCATAAAAAAGGGCAGGCTGCTTTCATATTGTGTTGTCAATGCCGAAGCTCAATAGCTTTTTGCCTGGCCGTGGAAGACTGTTCAAGAACCAACTGATGTCTCCCAATCTGGGGTTGAAGATGGCAAAGCCCTGAATTTCCTTCATCCGACAAGCACATGATGTGTTGTCACAGCATTGTTGCTTGGCTATCAGGAGCTGCTCGGCCCAGTCGGAGGGGCCAATCCCCTAAATCGGCTGCCATATTGTGAATAACTTTTGCAGAATTAGGAGCTGCCTTAGGCATCATTCGCGGCAAATGACAAGCCCGAACAGACCAACCGTAGGGCAAATCGGTTGCGCCCAACGGAGGAACTTGCACTATACTTACTGTTCCTCACCAGGCTGAATCAAACCATCCTGCAGGACTCGTCATGACGCCCTCGTCATGATTTTTGAATGGCCCGGGCCTCCTCTTGAAGTACCGCAGGCACCTCCCCTGGCAAGATAGCCCCCAGGCTGTCGTCAGAGAAGCGGCGGCCCACAAAACCGCTGCCTGAGGCACAGGTCTCGAAGTCAGAAGGCCATCTGTCTCAAAATTGCAGACCCCCTGTTGGGAACCCAAAGGAAATCACCTACCCGGCCGGGCCCCTGACGCTTGCAAAGGAAAAACATGGGGAAACCTGGAAACTGAATCAAGGATGTGTGCGACCTCTTGAACAAGAAATTCTGCATGGCGGATCTGTTGTCCGCTGTAAACTTGCACAAGGAACATGCTTGGTGCATCTACGCCTTGCTTGCCCGTGCTTGGTGCGCCTTGTGTGCTGCTCAATTTTACGCAATGTGAGCCAAGCTTAACCCGCGTACCAGAATGGAAGGTACTCCATCAGTGCTTCTTGTCTAATTAGCAGGACGGGCTGCTTTTCTTCCTTCAGTCCTATTGAGAATCGGGCTGCGCTGGTCAAGGAAACCCGAATGAACCCAAGAAGGGACCAGTGCACATGGCCCCTTGGTGCAGCCAGTGCGAAACACAGCTTGCAAAATGGCGAGAAAGGAGTACGCCCCGCAACCCTAAAAACAGCGGACCCTTCTCTTGTGGCAAAATTGCGGTCCTTCGGTCTTTGCACAACAACGCTTTCCCAGACTGTGAGGCAGCACCTTTGGCCATGACTACTTGAACATTCGCTGGGCATAGCATGGGCATTTCTCCTCCCAAGCTGTGTCGTGACGGCATCGATGCAGGGTCCACACAGCTTGCCTGTGTCTGACACCTTGTGTAGTCAGGACAGCTTG